ACCTCCCAACTCAAATCGGCAATGTCCCAGCCCCAAGACTGACTTTCCGGAAGATCATCATTCTCCGGCTCTCGAGCGACGAGCAATACCTACAGTCGACAGCGCCACCGCCATGGGCGCTGTGGTATTTCACAGCTCCGCTTATTGGCCGTGCACAGGGCTGAGCCATAAGCCAATAGAATATCATCAAATGGATACATAAACAAACGTTCATGCTTTACATTCATACATAAATGGAAGCCGCTGGTATGTGCAACAAGCACTTGATGGGAGGGGATGGGGCTTGTGTTGAGGAGATCTTCGTTTTCATTATGCGTTAGATATGATAGGGGAGAGTGGGGTGGGTTGTATCAGTTTTTACTCCGAGACCCATAACCTCGTAACTATCCGTGATAAACTCATTGTTTCCATACTATCCCCTTCCTTGATTCTTCTGCTTTTTTGTGCAAAGTAACTTTTCCGCTACCTCTACCAGTTTTTCTTCTACGGTCTCCCGAATAGAACAATGTTTTTGATACAACTTGCCCCATGGCTTGGGTGAGTTGTATCACATGGTGGGGTAATTTGTATCACTATTTCACGTTTCAGGGAGTGTGCTTGCTACTGGTTTTGAACATAACAACAACATTAAATGGGGTTAATACAATGTGTAGGTATGCTCAAAGGCTTCACTTTATTAGACCAAACTTAGGGTAATGCAATCCGAAAGAAACATCAACAGACTAGACGCAAAAGTGGCCCGTTAAGAGCAAAGAAGCCAACACATTGTGCCGAAATGGAACGAGCCTTGACTAGCTGCCTACAAACGCGAGCCAGGGCTTAGCTTTCGCGATGAAAAGCAACATACCCATACATACATACATGTTACAACATACCCCACCCGGCTCTGATACAACATGTACTTCGCCGCCATCTTGGAAAAAACATCCTCCTGCTCAAAAAACAGCGGACAGCTGGAGAAATCCGTTTTCTCTCACGCAGCCTTAGAACCTACCCTCACCACCGCTACGGAGATCTTTCAAATTCGTGCACATCTAAATGCCCAAAACACACATTTTCTTGCAACTCATTTTTTTAGAATGACATTAAAAAAACATAAAATCGGCTCTCACCTCGAGACGCGTCCACTCAGCCACAAGACAGAACAGGGAAAGATGGCGCCCGGAAAACCTCGTCGGCTGGTCGTGTCGCGAGCGCCATCCATTGGATAAGTTTGGCACAATTCGCCCTGATACAACTTGGACATGATACAACTCTCCCCGCTCTCCCCTATTGGGTGCAAGGGACCTTGAAATTTTTTCATGCTAGCACCATTCTAGCCATTTTACACATTTCTGGAATAAGCATTGCAAGGGTATTGACATCGCAAATACCTTTGACTAGCGCATGAGCAAGGACCAGCACAACATTACCAGGCTGCTGCCTGCTTTCAGAAAACAGTTTACCAGGGAAGCACATCGCAAGCCACGTGGAAGGCATACATACCTATTGACATTCACATAACCCTGTCGAATGCATAAGTCTGAAGGTTCTGGACGTCCCCAGTCACCTGAAGGGCGCCATTACCATCCGAATGAAGGTCCATTAAGAATACCTGAGCGCAGGGGCGGATCCAGAAAATCTCCAAGGGAGGGGCCATTAGAAACCAGGAGGCCCCCCCCCCCATAATCCCACCTGTTGGAGGCCCCATCTTCCCACTTGTTGGGCCCCCCCCAAAAAAAAAACTGCGTCTATTGAGCTTATCTAGCTGTTCAGGCAACATCTCAACATCTGTGCAGGCTTGGAGGCCCTCTGTGCAGGTTAGGAGGCCCTGTAAAAGTGGCCATCTCTGTGAGTATAAGAGACCTCCAAGTTATGAAAAGCTTTACCAATCTTCTAACAAAGAAGTCTTCTCAGCTAGTCTTCTAAGAAATAACTAAGTGGGTAGGTTAAAAAAACTCATCGGATTTCGGCCACTTTATTTTCAGGAGGCCCCCTTTTCAGCTTTTTAACTTTTTAACTTTTTATTTTATTTTTGAAAAAAAATCGGCCAAGGGGGGGGGCCATGGCCCCCATGGCCCCCCCCCCCCTTGTATCCGCGCCTGCCTGAGCGCCCGAACGCTAAACTAGCGGCCTCCAAACGTCCCAGGTGAGCCTCCTCCACTGCAGATACTCCCCATGGAGAAGCCGCCAATACGTTTCCATGGCAACCAACCCATCTCCATGACAACGGCGGAGTCACACATGCCACGCGACAAAGTTTCTCACTATGGAAATGCTTGCGGGCGTGGAGAACTTCCAACAATGCGAGACATTTGGCGGGTGGTAGGTGTCGAGTCGACATAGGCCGCATGCTGGGTGAAAACAGGGATCATAGGAGACATTTTAGGTGGAGGGGGGAGGCCTTAGGCCGATATAACCGAACAGGCAACAGCCAAGAACAATGTTTTTCAAACTCTTGGGGTCTAAGGCTCAGATGTGCATTGATCACATAAATTGATTCAGGATCAGATACAATCACTAGATCTGGGATCATATGGACCATAGGTATATCATGGATTAGGTATTCCTGGATCGGACACTCCGCCGATTTTCCGACCACCCGGCGGCGGCGGCGGATTTCCCGACGGCGAGGGCGCTGGCGCCATTTTAGCATTGCGGGCTATGGGCGGAGCGTGTCTTTTTGTATACTTTTGTCGTTTATTACTTACCTATAACCGATTTTGATGAAAATTTTTGTTTACCTGGTAGAACAGGAATTGAGGAATGTCATGGAAATATTCTTTTCCCAGTTTTGATTTAAGACGTTGCTTAAATTCTGCTGACAAGTGAGGGTTCGTGATTACAGCCGAAGAGCCAATGTTAGAATAAAGTTAAGTTTTATGCGATGACCTTAAAATAAGTTGATATTTGTATTAAATCATCAATAGGAAGTTGTTTGAGTGCCGAGGAACGATGATATTTGATGATAAATTGCATCGGCAAGTCAAGAATACCGGCTCAGTTTATGGGCATCAGGTAATGATTCTGTATGTGATAGTGACTAAATGGAGCCATAATAATCATAAGAAAGGACTAAAAATTATGTTTAAAGTGTCTGAAATTGTGTCTTATGAGCTAAAGTTCGCTAATTTCGCCCTCCATTACCGCGTTTTTAGCACGCAAGCCGGTGCGGCGGCCGCCGGCGCACTCGCCGCCGATGTTTCGGAGCTCCGCCACCAGGGCGGCCGCTTGGTCGCCGGCGCTAGTGTTGGGGAATAGGGAGTGTCCTATCCAGGAATACTTCATCCATGGGTATATCCAGCTTTCTATAATTAAGATCCAATATCATCACCATTCGTTCAGCAAAGTGGTATGCATTGGCGTAGATCACCTATCGTCACATAAATAACATATGGGTACAGGATGCATGGTGTATTGGTGTAAGATCCATGCAGATCCTAGATCATTATCCTTTATTGCCAGATCCTGTGAGATCCCACGCCCAATGCCTGTTACGTTTTTTCCGTAGGATTCGGAGGGATCATCGATTCTATCATTCAGGTTGGCCATCATATCATTCAGATCCTGGATAGTGGATCCCACACTCGATTCCATATACATTGACATAACAGAACCCAAAGGAATGATGATACAGGACAGGAGGCTGTGACTTTTTGCGTTTTATTGCCTAGTGTCTGCGGTTTTCACATAAGCCACAACGGGGTTCCGTAATCAGCGACTGCACAGCGTCTCACAGAAAGTTGATCCGGCAAACTTTCCCTAGCAACTGCGCATATTGTTAATGAGACCAGGCACCATCAGCGCAGGGTGCTGGTATATTGATGAGGACGCCGTAAGTCGACATTGACGTCACCAGACACCAACTTAGGTCTGGACTGTTGCACCAGAAACTTTCAGCAATAAGAGCCACATATGCAGCGTAGGTAACATTGTAAAATGAGTGATGTGTATAATGAGATGGTACTATGCACGTAATATGACACGACGCGATAATCGTTGGAAGTGTTGGTCTCCAGGTAAAATTCCGACGACCAGCAGTTTGGATGTGGCCTGAATGACCCCCCATTTGTCAGACAGATACATAGCTGTCAGCTCAGCTGTCAGAAGACCCAATATACCCTGGTCAGAACAACCCCGCTGTCAGACTCGAACCGAGTGCACCCCGGTCCCGGCTCCGCTCGAGTAGCGTGAGGGTGAGGGTGATAACCGCACCCAAATTACTGGTCGCTTTAAAAATTAATTTTAGGCGACCATAAACAGCAGATTTGCTAGGCTCATTAAGCAGGACAAGATCTGTTCTTCTCACTGACTTAAACTGGCTTAGATCGCTCCTCTCAACCATTGACCATCCTAGTCAGGAGTCGTATGGTATATCGAGCGCCGAAGCGACTCGAACCGGCAGGCTCTCGCTATCACGGTTACAATTTGAGTCATCGAACAAAACAACAGTCTTTTTATACTTTTGTGTATAAATATGTCATGGCATGAAAAAGCGACTGGTTCAGGAGCTAACTCTGTTCAAAGCATGCATTTAGCCCATTTCTGGATCGCCGCTTTCTGCAATGATACATTTGCCGTGACAGCACAGCACCATCACCATCGGCAGAGACAGCCTTGGCCACTGCACGGTGACTATAAATACGGGCCACTGACCATCACCTGTCCTGCTCTTATTTGATCTTAGACCGGAGATTAGGCGGAATCGAGGATGTATCCAGATGAAAATACCGACAGCCTCATGACTTTCCAAGTGCCTACTCCCTTTCCCACTTTCTCTTCCCCAAACATTCTGCCAGTCGTCTGGTTTCTATCATCATCTTTACTCAACAAAGCTAGTCAGTGGGACTTGTCACCTCACACCCCTTCCTTATTCTCTGTCCGTCCATCCCTCCCTCCCTTCCCTTCCCACTGCACACATCCCACCCTTGCCTGGCGAGTCAGCTGGTCTCTCTGTTCCTCCCTCCTTCTAACTCCTCCCAACTCCCCCTACCCTCTCCCCATGTCTCAGTGACACCCACCTTTGCGTGGCGAGTCGGCTGGGTCGGGGGTGTCGATGTCGGGCCGTCGGCGCGGGGAGGGTACGACACCCTCGCCACCCTCAGCGCCAGCGGGGGCAGCCTCGGCCATCACAGCTGACCTTCACGAGAGGCTGCTTCTTGAAGCTATCAGCCAGACAGAGATCTAAGAGATGATGCCTCTCAGGCAGTGTTCTGTTGTATCTACTGCCTCACAATGTCCACAGCAGGTTACAGGCCAGATTAGCACCAGTCACTGGGGACAAACAGACAGCAGAGCAATGTCAGTGTTTGTGACATACAAAGCAATGCAACTCACCTGTTAGCAGGCAATGGTGGGTATAATACATCAGCTATGCAGAGACATTATTCGCCTATACAAGGCAAATTCAATATTTACTATGTTCATTATGTAATAGGGTACCTACCTAATGCCTGTAGGTATTAGGTATCCAGGTGATGGGAATAGCAAAACAACCAATAAGTTTGCCAAATTACTGACTATTTGCCAGTTATTAAATACCATCCTGTTCATTATGCTTCACATTTCATATATGGCCTGGCCTGGACAACAAACTGACCCATGAAATTTGGAATTGTCTGAACAATATCGGGCTGAATGGCACAGCAATTGATATACTTAAACAGGTAGGATTGAAAAGTGGATAGCTTTGATGATTGAAAAGAAACATACACAACAAAAATACCTAAAAGCAGGGCCGGGGTAAGCAGTGATGGGCAGCGCAGGCATCGCCAATGCTTTGATGGTCTTTATCTTGCAAAAGTTGTTAAGTGTACCATCTAATAAGCAAATCATCATATATCAAACCTATCAATAAGCAAATTCTTATTGCGTTTGGGTGAAGAGTGCAGTAGGGGGTAGGCATTTGGGGCCGTTGCCCCAATTGCCCCCTAGACCCGCCTATGCAAATGCATATCCCGTAAGCAAGGTTATACATAACAGTCATGTATTGCACCCAACTCAAACTAATAGTAGGTATATAGAAGATGACCAATCAGCAAAACTCAAAAAAGCATTAAACTCAAAAGTGGATTTTGGGTATCCCTTCTACAATCTTCATAGAACATAAACAAAGGCAAAAGACCAAATTGAAATACAAATTCGTTCAGACAAAAACACCTAGTTGCACAACTACTTCCACGGTGCATTATCACATATCCTCTTACTTCAATTACTTCAATAACTGCCCGCAGTGCTCACCAATTACTCACCCCGGTTTATACAACTCACCCCCATCAACACCGCAAACACCGGAATCGCGGTTTACTTGACGACTTGACCAAGGCCCAAGGCTCAGTGCTGCCAGATGGGGAAGGCTGTAATCCTCCAGATCAGTTACAAAAATCCTCCAGATTCCTCCAAATCCTATTGGTAGATATAGAAAGGCGGTCTTGGACGCTGCGGGGGGGCTATACCTAACCCCAAAAGTTTCACCAAATTCTAAAAACTCATCGGATTTCGAATCCTTTCGCACTGCTGTGCAGTTTCAAAGATACTTTTTTTTAAAAAAAGTTAAGTTTTCGTTTTATACTAAAAAAAAACACAAAAATTTTCGTCGATTTCGGGCGCTGCAGGGGGGCCGGGGGCATTTGCCCCAAATGTCCCCCTTAGATCCGCCAGTAGTTTGGTACCCTCGTAGATATAGCTACAGACTGAGACATTCTGCAGTCTCACGGTGATAAAGGACGTGATATATCCTAACGGGTAGGGTGACGCTAGGCAGGAAAATGCCTTTTTAGTCTTGAATGTGTTATATTTTTCCATGAAATTGAATATAATAATCGGGCGACAAATCCTCCAGATTTTCCTCCAGAATCAAAAATCCTCCAAAAGCGAAATTTGTCCGCAAATAGAGTTCAAAATCCTCCAGATTTGCGGAAATCCTCCAAATCTGGCAGCACTGAGGCTATATAAACCAGGTAGAACGCTCCGGGAAAAAAGTTGGAAACAATAAATTAGTTGCGGCATTCCCTGATGACGCGAATGTGGGTCAGCGGCCGGCGGCCGGCGGCCGCTAACACTGTATGAGGATGAATGCACGGAACTTTTGTTTGTTGGAGATTGCGCTAGGCAGTTAAATGTTAATGTAAGGATATGTTTCGAAAGTAAATTGAACGACGCTTCGAACGCCGTCATTGAATTTGCGATACAACGACTATTTATTTAGTTAGAGCCGGCGAACTTTTACCTTCCGACCGCGCGGGGAGGCAATATGGTGCCACACTGACGCTTTTTACGACAGCTCAAAATTCTTTTGAGCTAAAGAGCTGAAATTTGACATGTCCAATCTTTTGATCAAGCTGGATCTTCTGGTACTGGTACGTCAGGTTGTTGACCTATGTTGTCGCTCGTGAGCCTCTACACAGTCCAAAAACAACGCAATTTCTGAACACTCAGTGCCAAGAAATCCTTCACAGAAAGATGACACTTGGCAGAAAGAATAGCTGTCGGTTTCTTACCGTTCGTATGTTTCGTGTTTTCACAAGAGTTTAGTAAGGTCAAGTCCCTCACGTCACCTCCCCTCATAACTCAATAGGACTAGGTTTACTATCATCATAGAAGCGTTTATATCAATCGCCGGAAATCTTAGCCAATCCCACTGGACACTGGATCCATACCCACATGGGGCCCTCCTGACTGGCCACTCCCTCTGAAATCCACAATAACATTGGGCTGCGGCCATAGTTATGTATTAATGCTTTTCACTAACAGAAATACAACAACTTCAACCAGCACAATGCACGCCGCCACAACAGTCCGACCCACGTCCCTGATATCGACTAGCACTCTGCCGGATGCGCATATGCGGAGCCAATCAGTCCGAATGTGACCTGCAGCTTACAATGTGTCGCATGGCACATGGCACAGGACGATTCCTAGCAGCTGTCGGCTGGAGTGGAGAAACAGCACGTTGCGACACACCGCGCCGGCGACAGAGCTCAGCAGGGCTGGTTGGAGGCTGGAGCCGGAGGTAAGGGCGGACACAGGCACAGACATTGCAAGACAAATAACAGGATGTCAGTTAGGGATATAATTCAAGACGAATGATTCAAGACGGACTGAAATAATGCACATTTTGCTCACTTGGATACCAACTTCAAACTTGACGTTTATAGCACCACGGAAACAATGGCCACACAGGAAAGAAACAAAAGATGAGGTGATTTTAACTCAAGGAAGTAAATAGAGGTTGCATATGATGGAACAGCTCGAAATGCAGACAAGCCCATATTTTGGTAATAGCTATCAGCTGTCCTACTCCTCTTCTCCCTTCATCAACTACTGGACACATCTGAAGCATCATATAATATAGGTAGCACCAATGTCCATAACAAAAGCTTGTAAAGTAGTTTTATGAAGCCATGCATGAAGCTATGCATGCCTACATCATGCATGTACCTAAACTCAAAATTACACATGCATGACAAAGGAAGCTTATGTAAAGAGAAGAGTTGGCAAAAGCATTTCATAGTTAAAATTATTTTAAACTGCACACAGGGCAAACATGAAAAGCAGCAAGTGTGCTATTCTGTTATGCTAAGAAATAGTCCAAAACAAAAAAAAACATCTTTTCATGTTTGAACTGGTTGTTCTTCTATGCCACTTCATCCATATCTTGATTACAGATGGGCTGTTGCTGTAGGCTGATGAAGTGACACTTGATTGCCTTTGTGTGAGCTTCAGTTGTAGCCTCCTAGGTACTGCACTGGAAAGCAGATTGAATTGAATGCCTCTGAAAGATAGGAATACAGGCAAAGTTAGCTGTAGTAGTGTCAATGATAATAGACATGGCATTTTTGTCCTTTGACATACATTTGTTGAAGTACAAAAAGGTACAAAATAAATTGGTTTGTTTCAAGACACGCACACTGCACAAAGCCGCACAGACATAACACAGGCATATGAAATTGGTACACATAAAACTTGATGATTAAAAAGGTCAAAAGTCGCAATAATAATTGAAGTAAAAGTTACAATCACAATCATTTGATTTAAAATGACTTGACAAAGTCACAAGACGCAACGCTCCTATTCTGATTCACTTAAGAAAAGCTTTTATGCTTTCATTATCCTCCACATATCAACCAGCTTGATACCAGGCTGTACAATAGTGTGTACCATTTTACCCCATGTTGCCCCACGTTATTTTTACCCCATGTTGCCATTTTATTAGAGCAAGTAGGGTTACAACTTACAACAACAATGCTAATGTCAAACCCACATCTGACGACTGCAACCCGTACTGCAGTTTCAATCACCTTACAAGCACACCTTCTGGCAGTTTGATGGGCAGAATGGTCATTACTACTTTCTCCTCATATTCAACACATATTTCCTTTATACAGATACAATTTAGACCTGGTTATGGCAAGCATTTTCGAGAAAAGATATGATAGAAGTCCAAGACAAAGGTCGAGAGAAACAACACCAACATAAAACACCGACTATGTAGCACTAATACTGTTAAATTCATAAACATATATACATGAGTCGATCAGAAATTCACTGTAGATTTCGAAAATGGTGTCAAATGCCACTCAAATACCCCCATTCGCATGTACGAAGCAATAAAAGACTGACCTTCAATTCCGCGTGCCATTCTCCATAGGCCACTGTGTATTAAATAACGCGTTCACTGATCGCAAAAAATGAGACCCACATATGACGCGTTTGCCACCAGCCAATCAGCGCTCGAGATGCCGAACGCTGATTGGTGGAGAGGGCCGTCGTTAGCAGTCCATTACACGTTGTTTTCCTTGAACATGTGCGTGAGCGCTGATGCTGCTCACGGGTTGTTGCCATTTTTCGTAATGCTGAAGGCACGGGAGCGAACCCCCCTGCCAAGGCCCTAAAACATAAGGGTCTGTTCCCGTCGCTCCTCCCAAAAAATCTCGGATGAGGTTGGATGAGCTTGGAGGAGAGCCGTTTCAGAGGAGCCACGGGAACATTTTCGCGAGGAAATCAGCTGTTTGCGGGCTGTAACGGTCGGCGATTTATGGCGCGCAAACATAAATCAAGAGATAATAATCGCTTTCTAATAAAATAACCTTAGATTAATATCAAACATTACTATTTAAAGATATCCAATCGTCATCAATCACTAAAATCATTTCCACTTCCCTCAAATCTCATTAATAAACAATTCACATTTGTATTACGTGCGCCAAATATGTCTACGCAAGAGCCTCCTCCAAAAAACCAACTTTCGTTTGGGATGAGGGAGGAGGTAAATAGTGGTGGTGAGATGTGAAATCAAGATGAGCTTGGAGGAGCTTGGAGGAGCGACGGGAACGATTTTTTGAAACGAGAGGAGGTTAGAGGAGCTTGGAGGAGGTTAGAGGAGCGACGGGAACAAACCCGACTTGACGGACTTGACCGCATACGCATTGCAAATTCGCCACACTTCCAAGCGTTTTTAGCGACTGGGCCTTGAAGGCTCTGGTGGCGACATCTATAAATCTGTTATAGCCCTGCCTTGCCTAACTGCCAAAACTCATCGAAGAGGCGCTGCAGCTGTATGAGAGGGAACGGTGCTTAGCCGAGAATCGAGATTGAGATCAACTTAGGACGTGAATTGCGGAAATCACGTCGTATCATAGATGCTGCTACCCAAGATATGCCTCGAGTAGGATTAGCCTTTTTGCTTGATGACATTCCCGGTAGCCGGGTGCAGTGACTACCTTGGGGCTGGGTGGCCTGTCCTCTGGACGGGCTCAGCCCCGGTGACTCACTAGGGTGCCTGCCCAGACCAATGTCTCCCCCTACATCCTATCATCCTCCCGGCTCTGAAATGGTCAAATTGGACCGAAATGGCCTAACCCAACAAAACAAACAAACAAACAAACAAACAAAAACAAAGTGAAAAGCCGCCCAACGTTTTGTGATCAACACGGGTCATGTTCTCGTCTTATGGAGCGTTGGCCGAAGATGCTGTTCTCACCACCGAGCTTGGCTCTCACCCTACTGGTCCGACGTAGCCATCGCTTCGAGGAGTGAAGACTCTTGTATTATGCAATTCGATGATAATCGAATATCGTCCCGAACATCAATACACCAACAGGCAACAGCCATCAAAAATTTATTCAAAAATCACCACGAACATTCCACCAGGAAGGTCATGTGGACATCATTTCACCTTTGAGGCGATCACTCTTATCACTAGCCAACATGGAAACATGGTTCTCTTAGCCAAGCACTCGTAACATGGGGGAAAATCCAGCCGCGCAATTCCTTAGTGGTGGTGGTAATTCGGTAGTGGTGGAGGGGTGCCGCTAAACGAAACACACCAAGCATTATGGCATCTTACTATCCAAATGACATTGGTGAGCGTCTCTATCACAAGGAGAAAACAAATAGCACTATCGACAAGGTGTCTTCTAAAGAAAAGGACGATACAGAGTCGTACGAATTCGATTCCTTCACCTTACCTTATTTCGTCGACTCCATCTAGTAGATGCATGATCATTTCTGATCGTCTTCCAATTATGTTAGCTGTGTGGTGGTTAGCTGTGTGGATTCCGAAGGTGGCACATCTACATAGCGGCTAAAGTTTACCCAGTTACAGCCATCGGTATGACAGCATCAGTTACATAGATAGCTCCCCTTCTCATCATCAGCTCGAAACACAGCAGACACTGCCAGAAAACGGTCCGTTCGAAGGACAGGGTTTGTCCGTCAGTCCTTTCTCTTAGGTCCTTATGTCGGTACAGCCGTGAAACCCACGACAGCGTAATATCGGTAAGTCCGTAGCGTAGGTTCTCCCATCCTACGTCTGCTGGTCCGGATGACCATCCAGTCCTTCGTACAGTCCTTTCGTCTGTCTGAAATTCAGTACGTCCGTCTGTCCGTCCATCCGCTAGTCTTTTCTTCTGTCTGACTATGTCCGTATTACCAAGAAATTATTATTCTGTTTTATCTGCCAGTTATCAGCCCATCCGGTCGGCCGGCCGTTCTTATCTGTCTGACAAAACATCCGCCCGTCCGTAAGATTATTCCTCTTCTGTCACTCTGTCAGTCTGGCAGTCTGTCTGTCAGTCCGTCCGTCCGTCCGTCCGTCGGTCTTCACTCAATTCATCCGTCCGTCCGTCCCTTTCTGTCCATTCCTGTGTAATAATCCGTCCGGATGTCTGAAGACCATTCCTCTTCTGCCAGTCCGTCCATCCGTCCGTAGGTTCGTCCCTTCCTCCATCATCTCCATCATCCTCTTCCTCCATCATCAGGCCCATCACCTAGTCGGTGAACTGCTTGTAGAGCTGGGGCACATAGTCGTCCCACTGAGCCTGGTACAGGTTTCCGGCCACAGGAGCGCCGAGGTTGTGCTGCTCGGCGAACTTGGACACACTCCACTTTTCACGGCCCTTAGCCTGTTGAGGAAGGGGGAAGATTAGACTTGTGGTCGATCGTGGAAAAGGGTGGTGAAGTGTTAGATAAGTGTACGATTCTCAGCAGACAGCAAGTGGCATATGGTAAGCATAATTGGATGATGGACGATATGGATGACTATATAATGCATTTTTAGGTCGGAAAAGACGTAAGAGTAAATGATGCTTTCGTTAACGCTCTGAAATTTTGTTATAATAAAATGATCATAGCATGGTGTCTTGATTTTGCGGTATTACAATAGAAAACTGGCATATAATTGCTTTATCAATCACTCGCCCAATCACAAAACGTCTTCATCTCATCATTCGGACATTGGACAAAAAGCAAAACCTCCCATCTAACCGCACAGAACAAGCTACGTGACCAACGTCCAACTGACATGTCACCATACGAAACACTCCCTAGTGACCGGCATATTGTGTGACATCGCCACCTATACGGCCTCTAATTGGTCATTCTCACCTGGTTTTTGGTCTTCCTCAGTGCCTCGTCCACAGTGATCTTGCCGGGCTGCTTGTAGACGAGGAACACATACCTGCGGAGGTCAGGTCAGGTCGGGTCACCTCAGGTCAGGGCAGCCGTCAAGCTTGACAGTCAAATGCGTGAAGGCGGGGGAGAAGGAATTATTGGAAAACACGTTGACAAATATTATTCAATCACCAATACTCACAACATATACCGATAACCCCACCCTTCACCACAACTAATACGCCCCCCCCCCCCCCACCAGCCGTCAACCTCGCTCCTGTGATCCCACCCCTTCGCCACTTTCCTCAATAGTCCCCAACCCCTCTCGCTTCCCAGACGAAGGTTCGTAAACACAAGGTTGGTATGCGCAAAAATTCGTAAGGAATTGTTCGTTCGCATTGGATAAGATTCGTATTGGATACTATTCGTAACGGTAAAGGTTCGTAGTGGAAAAAGGTTCACATTTGAAAGGTTTGAATCGGATAAGGTTCGTACAGGACAAGGTTCGTAACCCTCCCCCTTACCTGTGAAGTCCAGCACCTTTGGACTCCCCTTCCTCATCCCCCTGGTAGTCCTCTCCCCTCTATTGACCCCTCACCTATGCAATCCAGTTCCTGTTTGGTCGTCCCATCCTCAGCCCTCCACTCTCCAGTGATCCCTGACCCCTCAGTCCCCTTCCCCACCGTCCCGCCCCTTTACCTGTCCAGTCCAGTGCCTTTGGGCTCCCCTCCCCACTCCCCCGGTGCCCCTCCCTCTCACCTCCCTTACCTGTGCAGTCCGGTGCCTTTGGGCGGTCCTGATCCGACGAACTCGGACACGGCGTCCCCGGCGGCCAGGTCCGTACCGGGTACATTAACCAGCAGCCAGTGGCGCCACTCGCCAAACTTGGGGTCGGCCCGAGACGGGGCGTCAGGGTCTGTAGATAGAGGGGAGACAGGTCGAGAGAGGGGTGTGAGACCATTGACAGAATTGTACGGAACTGGGATCTACTTACTGACAAACGCGGAAAAGCTACGGGAGGTGCTGGTAAACGCAAAACTGTGCAGTGGGTAATTGTTATAGGGTTAGCCGGTAGCCCGACGATGTCCTGCTGTATTTCACAAACGTGTTTAGTTTATACACACAGCTTACATATGAGCATACTGCCTAGTGCCTACACAGCAGTCCTTTCAGCAGCTTGCAATATGCAATCGTACTGATCGATTATAAATCGATAAACAAAAACAGAAATCAACTGTGACGTATCTCCATACCAGTACATCAGCTAGCAGCCATCATTAGCTGCTCTGACCTTAGTACCTCCATGGATGACTAATCCATGGTACCTCAGTCACAAACGGCCCGACATTCGAACTTACCGGTCATCACCACGGTATAGAGGGCGCCACTCTCGGCGGCCCAGCTGAGCTGCGGCTGCTCCTTGACCTGGGTCGGGGTCAGCTCGGCACCACCGTCCACCGTCACACCGCCCGGGTAGGTCACCTGGGGTCAGGGAGGGAGGGGGAGGTCACAGAACTTTGCAGGTTAGGTATGTCACCTAGGGTAAAGATGGATGCGATAAAAGTAAGAAAGGTCATCTGGGGTCAGCGTAGCGTAGCCCGTAGGTCAACTCAGGTCTCATCGTCGTCATTCTAGACAAGGCTGTCCATGTGACGCTAAGAAGTAAAATCGTTTACAGATCAACGCTCGTGCCTTTCAAGCTAAGCTCCTATCCAGTTCAATTATCCCAGCGCTCTCATGTCTAGCATTCTCCCTTCCTCAGCCCTCAATTCTCTTCCTCACCTTCTACTCTTCTTCTGCGCTTCTATCCTTCTTTTCCAATCATTCTACCACATCGCTCAGCAACCTACCCTCTATCATTTCACTCTCCCTGCCTCCGTATCTCCCTCCATTCCCCTCCTCACTTCCCCTCTCTTCTCCCTTCCTTCTCACCGTGAGCACAGCGGCCGGTCCAACAGGAATCACATCCGGCACCACTTTGTGAGTCTCCATGGCAGTCACACTGCGAGTCAGACGGACGGGATTCTCCACAGACTGATCGGCCGTGAGCTCACACGCAGAGGCCGGTGGTGAAAGGAGAGAACTCGCTGTAGAGAGAGGGAGGTCAAAGGTCAAGTATGAAGATATCGTGTGAGAGGTACAGGTCTCGCGGGTTTTAGCGGTAGGTCGCTCGGCGGGCGGGAGGGCAACTAGTTCCGCCCCTGTATCGGCGACCCTTTGCTCCGCCCAATTACGCACGAGCGTGTACTACATCACGTAGTAGCGTGGGGGAGGGGAGGGTTAGGGTGGCAGCGTGTGTAGAGGCTAGAACCGGTTTCTACCGCCTGGGCCGGCGACCCGTCATGCGGTCAGGAGACGGGGAAAGGTCAGAGGTCGCATACAATGTGCGGTGCTGTGCCCCGTCCTCTCCACGTGCTGACCGGCGCACGACCCCGTCCGTTGGCCAATCGGTGTTGAGCGGTCAAGGTCGCCCGTAGCCAGCGGGCTGAGTGAGCCGGCAGCGTGCCGATCCAAGGTCGTGAATAGTATTAGCCGGTTACCAATGGGGCCGGCAGACGACTGTTTAGCGCTGTTATTTCTTGGGGACGTTTCTGCTAATTATCCGTGACCTGATGAGATGTCCGTGAAGTTAGCGTCAGCAACAGCAACGAATACAGCGTCGGATTCAGAATCGCTTAAAAAAACTCAAAATTGGTCAATTGGGGGACGGGGAGCAAGAATATGACCTTTATTTGGCCCTAGCTCTTACCCCTTACCCCTTAATCGGCCCTTAAAGGAAGGGGCGCGTCAAAAGTGCCTCAAGGGTTCGTCTGATCGCCAAAATAAGGGTCGCAATCGATTCCTCGGGTCAATATCTAGCCGCAGCCTCGGGTTCCAGATGTGTGCAACTTACCCCTTACCCCTTAATCGGCCCTTAAAGAACGGGGCGCGTCAAAAGTGCCTCAAGGGCTCGTCTGATCGCCAAAATAAGGGTCGCAATCGATTCCCCGGGTCAATATCTAGCCGCAGCCTCGGGTTCCAGATGTGTGCAACTTACCCCTTACCCCTTAATCGGGCCTTAAAGGAAGGGGCGCGTCAAAAGTGCCTCAAGGGCCGATTAAGGGGTAAGGGGTAAGTTGCACACATCTGGAACCCGAGGCTGCGGCTAGATATTGACCCGGGGAATCGATTGCGACCCTTATTTTGGCGAGCAGACGAACCCTTGAGGCACTTTTGACGCGCCCCTTCCTTTAAGGGCCGATTAAGGGGTAAGGGGTAAGTTGCACACATCTGGAACCCGAGGCTGCGGCTAGATATTGACCCGAGGAATCGATTGCGACCCTTATTTTGGCGATCAGACGAACCCTTGAGGCACTTCTGACGCGCCCCGTCCTTTAAGGGCCGATTAAGGGGTAAGGGGTAAGTTGCCCACATCTGGAACCCGAGGCTGCGGCTAGATATTGACCCGGGGAATCGATTGCGACCCTTATTTTGGCGATCAGACGAACCCTTGAGGCACTTTTGACGCGCCCCGTCCTTTAAGGGCCGATTAAGGGGTAAGGGGTAGGTTGCACACATCTGGAACCCGAGGCTGCGGCTAGATATTGACCCGGGGAATCGATTGCGACCCTTATTTTGGCGATCAGACGAACCCTTGAGGCACTTTTGACGCGCCCCTTCCTTTAAGGGCCGAGTAAGGGGTAAGGGGTAAGAGCTAGGGCCAAATAAAGGTCATATTCTTGCTCCCCGTCCCCCAATTGACCAATTATGAGTTTTTTAAGCGATTCTGAATCCGACGCTGTATTCGTTGCTGTTGCTGACGCTAACTTCACGGACATCCTGATGAGGCCGGATATCGTGTCACACTACAGTTTTATTTTCTGCCGCACTCTAGTTCCAAAACTACCAGACACAAAGCTTACCGCAGAAAATGTTTTATGGATTTTTGACATCATTTTTAAAAGATAGTCATTTGGGTTCTGGTTACACCAATGTTATTTGTTGTTATCTTTGTTATTTTTAAAACCAAATCCATATGAGTAGCTTGAAGAAGCATCAAACCATATGATAGGAGATAAATATGCCTTGCCTTTGACTTTTAGGGGGAGAGGGGTCCGAAACGACCTTTCTCCCTTTTTCAATCCATGTCTCCCTAAGTATTGTAGATATCGTCAGTCGTCACCAAACTTTCAGGGACCCTCTGGGCATCAATTTTACACCATGCGGGGCCGTCTATTTCCAGAGAGTATGATAGGTTGGCCAAAAATGACATCAGAATAACGTCATGGGTCTGCAATTTTCGACAAAAATAAAACTTTTGCGGGAATAGCTGCCACGCCTACAGTTTTGAACATAGATAACAATGTGCAACACAATAAGATGTATATCATTAAAGCATATTATTTCAGCAATCATCATATTATTTTCCAAAAATAACCGAAAGTTTTCTAAACTTCGAGAAAATCTTGATGATATAGAACCTAGCCCGCGCCCCGTAGGGGGAACGCCCCCTTGTCCTTTTCCGTATATATCTCCTAAACGACTGTAGATATCGTCACCAAACTTTCAGGGCCCCTCCGGTTATCAATGTTACACATTGTGGCCAAAATTTATCCAGAGGCTCTGATAAGTTGGCCGCAAATCTGACGTCATGTTCTGCCATTTTCAACAAAAAAAGGTTTCGCGGGAAGCGCGGTCAGGCCTTGCAGTTTTGAAGATAGAGAAAAATATTCCGAAAATACTCCGGCTTCAAAAATCGACTCCGACTCCGACTCTGACTCCAGCTCCGACTCCGGGCATTTCCCTATAAGTCCATATCATGATAGAAAAGTTCATGTCTGAGGTCTTTTTATCTTGCCTGAGACAATCATTCGCGCGTTCCATGGCCTTACATCGCGCAGTTATAGATACTCTAAAAATAACATTCAGTACCATAAGCAGTTTCTAGCACCACCGGTCTTCTGGTTTTTCGCTGAAAATGATCGTCCAAAACAGAAACCTTGCCTTAGCTTTGACAAAGTCTGGTTTGGAAACATCAACGAGCATAATATTTCCAAGCAAACATGTGTAGGGCATGACTTTGAGCTATGCCAAATTAACTCCGACCCCGGAGTCGACGTCAGTAAGATTTTGGCGACTCCGACTCCGACTACGGTCAAAACTATAGACTCCGACCGACTCCGACTCCGACTCCGACTCCGACTCTGCAGCCCTGGCCGGCTATCCAACACCGTTTACATTTTGAAAATCGGCCGGTAACTTTCCGAGATCTTGGGGGCGGGGCGAAACGTTCCCCCCTCCCCCCACGGGTGGTAGGGCCCGCCGATAGCCCTACGGGACGCGGGCTAACGCGGTCCATCAATATGCCAATTATCAGATCAATAGCTCGACTTTTTGGAAAACTTACAGTGAAAAAAAAAATCACAATTGACATAAATTTGTCAAACTCCCATTTTCGGCTCATCTATGCTGATCTATGGCAGCTACGATTTTTTGTATAGACATACGTGGCGGTCCGCCACTTATGGCGAGTTGTTCGAGAAAAATGAGAGGAGGGGTTCGTTCGACCGCCCTTTCAAGTGCAAATAATAATTGTTATAAAACGGTAACATCGGAAAAATACAATTCATTGTATCTTTCTCAATAAATTATTGTGGATTATTTCGTAATGATAGATGCATTTTAATAAGCAAAAGATATTTTTAGTTGATCTGAGGCCAGTTTTACCAACGGCAAAATAGCCGGCTGCCGGAATATTTTGCCCATAGCGGTTACTTTTTCCGATCATTAATTATTATATATTTAGGGGTTATTATTTGACCTTGAGGGAGACTTTTAAAAAAATACCGGCAGCCGGCCATTTTTCTGTTGGTAACACTGGCCTCAGCACGCTTCCATTCTATTCTATGCCTAAACCTATCACCCTGGTCCAGCTCCTCCCAACCCCTGCTTTCATAGACATGCCACACCGGCCGAGCTACAAGGCTGGCGGCGAGCGCCTCACCCCTCCCTACACGCCAAACAGCGCCGGGCTCTCGTGACCTCTAGCCTCACCGCCCGAGGGCTCGGCCGTTGTCCAAGGACGCCCTGCGCGCGGGCCGCAGTGATAGCCTCTGCTGAGTCCCGCTTCCATTCAACGTTTACTACGCGCTGGGTTCATTCATGCCTCTGTGTTTCAGCGTCCTACCCGTTGGGTGGCGCCACTGTAGTCATAGGCGACTGCAGGGAAGCCGCGGTCAGAATGCCCCAAACGGCGGATTTTGAGGTTTTCTTTAAATTTCTCCGAAACTATCCGGCATACGGTTAAACCTTTTTCCATGATCATGGTAGGGAGCTATACGAATAAATCGGTCACATCTTCAAGCCTACAAAGCTGAAGACGAAAAAGATATAGCCGGAAAGGCAAAACCTACCCTTAAAACCCGCGAGACCTGTACGAACAGTTTGCCAAGGTTACGTAACTTCGAATCCGAATCACGATGACACATGAACCGTCCCCTACAACAAAGATGTTTCTTATCATCGCTAAAGCAAACAACCTACTAACTTTTGAGTTTTGACCCAAAGGATACAGAACACGTGCAAAACTCACCGATCAAAATGAAGTAAGGAAGCAGCATGCTGCACTTCTTGGCAACACTCCCCGACTCTAAATGGTGACAATTTTACTAACGCACAAAGCCACAAAAGGTCAAACACGTTGGTCGTCTAAATCGATAAATCAATACTGGTTACACCGTGGCATGCAGACAAAAGGCAAGCATTCAAAGAGCGTTTATCAACGTTCAAAACTTTATCATGCATGCGGGAGCATGGCAACACAAGTCCAATGAGAATTAATAGCATGCAAAAGCTTATGAAGCCAAAGCAGCAGAAAACACGTGCAAAAAAAGGCAAATGCAAGAGACAAGCCGAAAAAGCCCCACACATAGCCAACCGACACGAGCAATACCGCTTGAGTCACCCACCAAGTTGCTACCTACATAATATTTTTAGAACAACAAATGCTATTGGTACTTACAGGGTGTTTCACTAAAAGTGTCAAAAAGTAAATGCTTATTAAAGATATATAAAATATGCAAATCACGTGGTTGCGCATGTGGCTTTGTTGCAAATTTTTGGACATTTATGCTTTGTCCATTTAAGATGTATTTTACACCCATACGGAGCGAGGGCAGGAGGCCAAAGTTACTAGTCGTTTTTTTCCTTATACAGACCAAGAACAGGTTATTTACACCTCAACAGGATGGGTGAATTACACTTACATTTGGTGCCATCAGAAACAATGAAACGGTATGCCGACTTTCAGGAAACGTTTTACTCTCTCACCTCGCTACGTTCCAGATTATAAAAGTTTAAAAGGGCTTCTTAAGAGGTTTAAAAGGGCTCCTTCGATGCCAGTTCCAGTCCCAAAAAAGGCAGGGTCGCCCCCCACATATCGGCGGAAACCGTCGAAAAGATCAGGGTCCTTTTGAGGGCCTTTGAAGATAACAAGAAGCTAATTTCAACATCAGAAATAGCCAAGGCCTTACAAGTTATCAAAAACAACCACTGTGACGGCTGTAGCCACCAGGAACTGGCTGGACCAGAAATTCCTGGGCAAACTAATCAGCTGCCTCACCGCCCGCCACCATGGCCAGCGCGAAGCCCCGAACTGTCACCGCTAGACTTCTGGTTTTGGTCAGTGACTCAGTAGCTCTCGCAGAGCTGAGGAAGACTCAAGTCGCATCACTTCGGGAGCTGAAGAGCACAATTCAAGGCTTTGCCGACAGTCTGGACGCTGAATATGAAAACGGGCTGTGAGCCACCTCCGGACACGTGCGGAAACGGTGCATCAAAAGAAGGGGCGGATATGTGGAATAGGTTTGAGTGACGGTGATATCGCTGTTATATATTCAAATGTCCAACAATTGCGGATGAAATGATATGCACATTTCCTTGGAAAACATTGTTCTTATGTGCATTATGACCTTTTACTTTTTGACACTTTTAGTGAAACACCCTGTAGAAGGCAATACAATGCTACGATAGTGAACGGAGTGTACAGAATAAACAAGCGGCGGTAAATTCAGTATTCACACAGATAGCGCTAAGTCAGAGTTCGCTTCAAAGCGTTAGTCCCAACAGCAAATCCACTAGTAACTAGCCGCAATCACAATAACCACCACCAGCTTGTCACGCTTCGCTTTCAAAATCCGCCCGTCACCTTCAGCAGCAACGCAAAGCTAGAACCACTGCTCTTATGATGCCGCTAGACCGCACGGTGTTAGGCCACGACGCGAGCGGTAGTCCAAACGACGCCAGCAGCCTTGGGCAGAGTGGCTAGCAAACAGACTGGTTGGCCAAGGTCACGATGACAGTTGAATTTGGGGGCGATCGGACCGGACCGGTTCTAGCCGCCATCGGTGGTGCGGCGCCACGGAAAATGTGGTTCACGCACCATGCGGTGCCAGTGGAAGTTGCAATGCGATGCAATGGAACCGTCGGGTGTCAGCGCACTGACACTCAACGAAAGGGCCGATGAGCTCGCCAATGGAGCCAATGCCCTATCCTAAACTGACACCCCGGTTGATACCAACACGGTGACCAAAAGCGGCTGCCCGCTCAGCCACGGCGAGGTGGAGAGCATGCAGGCCAGAGGGGTGGTACACATACGACGTCCGTCTCGGGCCCTGTCTGCATGGGCGCCGCCACCGGGGGGGGACGGGGGGGACGCGTCCCCCCACTCACAGAATGGAAGAGGGACGTCCCCCCCAAACTCATTACGGAGCGAGCGAAGCGAGCGTAGTCTTTCGTAGGTTAACGGAAATTTCTGAGTATGCCGTGGTCACGCTTTTGCTAGGCTTATATCTCAGCAACCATTTGACCGACTTACATGCGGTAATTTTTGTAGGGTAGCTAACGAGCATCGGACTATTCCCGATGCATGTGAGTGACGGTGTGACCCCATATGCACGTGCCACGTGAAAAACGAAGAGGTGTCAGTGTTGTAACAATTTAAATATCTCGGCAACTACTGGGCCGCCATTGCGCTGAAAGTTGGCATGTAGGTAGGTATACCCACTAGGCAATGCATATCCATGTGCCACAGTTGGGGTGCTGCTGCACGTGCGCACATGCAGGGGTCGATTCCAAATCTCGAGAACGGCTGAACCGATTGTACTGAAATCTGATACATGGTTAGGGACCGGTTAGTAGGGTGCCGTGCAAAAGTCATTTGGGACCCATTTTGCACGTGCGCACGTGCAGGGTGCCGCTTCCAGATCTCGAGAACGGCTAGGCCGATTGCGCTCAAATTTGGCACATCGTTAGGGACCGGTTAGCAGAGTGCAGTGCACAAGTTAGTTGGAGGTATCCCCTCGCAATTTCGCACGTGCAAGGCCCACCCCACCCTCTCGCTCGCTCCGTTGGTCGCCCCAAAAGGCGTTTTACTGGTTGTTATCCTACTCGAAATTTGATTAGGCCCTTCGGTCCAATGAGACCATTTCAGAGCCGCAAGTATGAAAGAATTAGTGGGAGACATTGGTCGGGGCAGCCACCCCAGTGAGCCACTTGGGATGAACCCGACCAATTGAACAGGCAGCCCAGCCCACTGGCACTCACTGCACCCAGCAAAGGACTATAGCTCCAGTGGAGCCATTCCCGCATGGGATAGAGTTGCCCGTCCAGCCCGGAGCAGGGGGTTGCGGCGTGGAGGAGAAGGATTTGACTGTCCTGAGGATGGAAGAGATGGAACGGCCGGTGTCGAATCTGAGAGGGTCCAGGAGGTTTAGATAGGTACTCAGTACCTATATGGGGTGTGGGCCTACATGCAGATTCAGATTCAGAGGTATTCAAATAAGGTCCACAATAAACGTGGCTTTTCACTCATTCACGTCTTATGTAGAGCAGAAAGGGAAGCTGGATGCATTGGTCTGACCCCTGCCACCTCGGCCAACAAAATTTCCAGCTCTTTTCCGACCTGTCATCGCGGAACTGCCAATTTTTGATATCGTGATCAACGTGTGTCGTATAACACGACTGGCCGAACACGGGCCTAATATATTTCGTCTAACCAGCCAAGAGCATGACTTTACACCAATCCGACCTCGAAGTCAAAATCCGAACATTGTCGAAGACTTCAACTCCGACTCTAGCCAAAACTGGCCAAAACAGTCAACTCCGACTGATTCCGGCTCCGACCCCACACTTCTGCAGTCACGCTACACTAAAGTTCCAGCTTCTAAGAAATAAGCTATACCTACGGTTGACAGGACCACAAAACTTTGAGGCGACTTGACTACTTGATTTGGTTTTCCTGACCTAAGGTTTTCTGGTATCAAGCTTGTTACACGGGCTGCAAAATTCGTATTTTGGAGCAGTTTTGCTTAATGTTTTTTTGCCAATTTTCGCGGCGCTTCGCACCGATTCGTGCACAACCCACAAAGAGAGATTTGTGACTATACAACGCCCCCTCCCCCACGCGGGTATGCAATATGCATTACCTATGCAATATGCATTATCGATCATATTAGTGGCATACATCAGCAATTATACCGTGATAGAACACGAGGCTTTGCCGTGAAACTGAATCGGACATCAGATGTGTATATAGGTAGGTACTCGGTGGGAATGCGGTCTATAGCCATTACTTTAAGGAAATACCTAAACATGGGTGTCCATTTCCGCCAAGTCGGGGGTGCCCGAACTCTCCAAATTCCCCGCCGGCTCGGCCGGCTTGGCTTTGGAGCCTCAACAGACCGCGCGGGTCAAGGTCACCGCTAGGGCGGCGGCGGATTTGCTGCGCCCGGGCACCCCAAACTCGGTAGAAATCGACACCTATGTACCTAAACTACTTTCCTCAAACCAGTTGTTTTGCCACAGTTTTATGAGTTTTTAAACTTAAAATGGTCAGGAAATAATGAATATTTGCAAATGGATTTTATATTTATTCTTACATCACTATTCACTATTTTCCATCTTTGGTAGAGGCTACTTACCTATATTGCAGCAGAAGCTGATTACGCGTTGACCAAGCATAGTACGTAACTCAAACTAGCTGAATGCTGATTGGCTAGCATTTTTCCGTAAGGGAATGGATTCCTCGGTAAGAGAATGACAAAGTGTAATCTATGGGAATGACGTCAGTCTTCAAACCTAAAATCGATACCGATATATTTGGCTAGGGCGATCGTTGGGCCATAAAAGCTCCTGATTTGTTCTCGTCTCAGCTCAAGCTACAAAACTGCTACTTCAGTTCAAAACCCTATGTTAAAAGTGGCATATTTGCTTTAAACGTTGAATGCATCCGACCGAAAAGGCCACGGTAAGAATGTCTACTTTTGGGTTTTCAGTCGGTCAGTCCGTCCCCCCCCCCCCCCCCCAGTTAAAAATCTGTGGCGGCGCCCCTGCCTGTCTGCCGGGTCCGGTCGAGAGATAGGAAAGTCTCTCATTTTTGGCGCTGTTTAGGACGCTGTTGACATTCCTCAGCTCTGGGCCCTGTTTCACCGGTGATAGCAGCACGCTACTATCAAATTGCGCGAGCTGGCGTAATGTGATGACCTCACACTAATGACGTTTCGTGTAATCGGTGAGTTTTTCATAGCTACGTTTGGAACAGAGTTGCTGTCTCGTTGAATGCGTTTGATACATTTGCACGGCCTTGAAGATGTTAGCAGCAATATTTGATAACATCACACAGTTTGACGACGCCATCGTTTGTAGATGTTTCCATGGAAACCCAATTTGACACGTGTGATAGCAGCGTGCTGCTATCACCGGTGAAACAGGGCCCTGGATAGATCACCCGCAGGCCGCACCGGTCCGGCTTGGAGCAGTACCTACACCGAATCAGCCGCTCTGTCGCTTGGATGTGTTGATTGCGGCTCATTAGGGTGTCTGGCCGAGCTCTGCTACGTTTCCCGAGGGATGGAAGACATCTTGTAGCTCATCCCTTCCACCAGAGAATACTGAGATGCAAAATGATGGCTTGGTGGCGGCGGGCATGGTGGCAGTCTTGGCCGCCCGCTTCCGCACCCAACTGAGCCACTGGCTTTGGTTATGCCCGTCACTCGCCGCCCCCACCCCCCATTCTATGGAGGCTGGAGGGGACCTCAAAATTCTATCATCGCTGAGTTGAAAGTTGAAACAATTTGTGCCAATGGCCTCTGAAGTCGAGGTGTCCTAATATCACTCAAAACCATTCCAATTGGGCAAACTAGACCTTTGGAATCAAAATATGGAGGCATCAAAAGATTGATTCCTTATGACCATATTTGGGCATAAATGCAGACCATTTCTAACTTACCAAACACATAAAAATAAGAGTGTTTCAAGAAGGAGCATGCCTGATCTTGAACAGAAATGCTGGAAGTATCTCCTAAGCAAAATAATGTTGCTCCTATCATAACAATTTGAATTCTATAGGTAGTGAAAGGCAATCAAGGAATTGATTCACTTTAAACAGATAATCATAATATTGATTCCCCATCAGCTGGCTAATCATTAATTTGATTCACAGGTAATGTTAACAGATAGGCAACAATGACTTGCAAGAATACAGCATTTTTCTTGCTATTATTGTTATTTAGTGGTATCCTAAGCAGACATGTGCATGGATCCGAGTGATGGATCTATGATCTCAGTGGATCTTGAGGCAAATTGTAGGTTCGGATCTATGATCCCACCGAATCTGGCATGAAAAATTTATCCTGGATCTATGACCTCACAGGATCTGACGTTAAACCAAAACCATGGATCTATGATCTGAGTGGATCCCACCATGAACAACATTTGAAACCAGGTTTCCAAGTGTTTCTATGTCAATAAGTGCCATAAAACTATGGATTATGACGTGTTATCACATAAAAGCACTAAATAAGAACGTTTGTGAGTTGCAACGTCAGTGATCTTTTGGGATTTCTGTGTTGATCAAAAATAAATGAGGATCTATGATCCCACTGGATCTCAAGCAAAAATACTACACTCGGATCTATGATCCATACGGATCTCTCGATAAATTAAAGAGCTGGATCTATGATCCCGACGAATCCGAGATCAGGATCCGTGGGCTCAGATCCCAGATCCATTTTCTCGGATCCATGCACATGTCTGATCCTAAGCACCACAACAGATGCCTATAGCATTGTTGTACTTTACCTTCACTTCATTTGATAACAATTCACAATTTTTAAATGTCAAGAATACAAAAACTGAAGCAACAGGTAAAAACCATATAATAAATATAAAAGCACTACAGCAATAATAATTAGGGGTTTGAAAATTTCATTTTGCCATTTTACACAAATACTGATTGTTTGGTATGCGATTCATGATACAAAAATTACATACAGTGTGATTTCCTCAATCAGCTTTTACGTGATGGACAGTGCCTCTGTCTTTTTCCCATTCACAAGGCCAAAGGGACAATTTCTTAGTTTTGAGGTAACACTTTTTGCAAACCTACCACATTTTTCTACCTTTTTAAAGAAAAATCTCACCGTCATGGGCCTTTTTTCAACCGTAACGATACATTTGAAGTCTAAAGTGTACCCAAATGAATAAAAAATTGATTCCATGCCCATATTTGGTCATGGCTCCTCCCACCAGAATCAATTTATTGATGCCTCCATATTTTGATTCCAAAAGTCTAGTTTGCCTAACTGATTCATCATCTTAAATCTGTGGAATTCCACCACCTACCAACATGAAACACTGCAAGTATTGCAAAAAATAGGTATGCATCCAGCATCACACCCATGAAAATTGATTGCCCTCAGACATCGAATCCAATTAAAGTCAGAGGACAGGTCCTTGGCCCTGTTTCACGGGCACTGCCACTTGCCAGCACACTGCCAGCCCACATGGCAAATTGGGTTTCCAAGGAGACATCACAATCACCAACCTTGTACACTCAAACATTCAGTGACTTGACCGCATCCTGTGACGTCAGCCCACAAAATGTGCTGGGCCTGGCAGCATAGCTGCGTGCGAGCGGCAGCCGTGAAACATGCCAAAATGTCAAGATAACAGGTCTCAAGATCTAAGAGCAGTTAAACATGGCTGCAGCAGAAAACCGAGATCAAGGATTTATCACGGTTTTGATTGTAATAGCCATGCAGAGCCCCAGTCCCGATGCAGTGAGGATTGAGAATGGCCACATGTCAGGCTGTGTGTAAGGAACAATGAATAGCGTATTTAATGTTAAAATTCCCACTAACTTCATGTAAAAACGTGTATTTTAATTTCAAGTTGAATTAACTCTCACAGTTCAAGTCAAAGAGACTACGCCAGTTCAAAACAGCTTATGAGCTGTGGTATGCTCCATTCGCTTATGCGGAAAAAAATGAATTATAACATACGGAGCAGGCAATAATGTTAAAGTAATAATAAAATAAAATACAAACCCCACACCTCACCGGCTTCGCGCGCGTCCACGCGCGTTCTTCACTCAATATACCCGACCCCCACCGGACACGATTTGGTAGCCGAGGTCTGTGACGTCAGCCGGGCGTGAAGTTTTCCCTTCACCATAGGCTTAACACACAAACTGGCTGAAGTTCATGCCAGGATAGCCCGGCCTGAAAGTGCAAAAATGATTAAATTTTGCCCTCATTAGCTTCATTGCTTCATTTCATAACTAAAAACGTCAGTTATTAGGCCTCAATGAAGGTACAAAGTACTCAAAATCGAAGTTCAAGAAGATGCTGTCCGAGCACAATTTGGTAACATCACGTGACCTCTTTTCAACAGATTGTATATATTTTAGGAATATAATTACACGATTGCTGCCTAAGACATCATAAATAATACACGTGTAACATTTATTACTAAAGTTTTAGTCATAACATTGCAAAACGCAAAGTTTATCATGGCAGTCACGTGACCAAAGGTATAGCAGGGGGTTGGGACAAACACTCACAGGATTTCAAGCTTTGTAATTAATTTATATAAGTTTCATGATGAAATTGAAAGATTGTATTTTTTCCTAATAGAACACAAATTTTCGTTTGTAAAATATTTTTCTTATAGGTGAAATTCTCCATTTAAGAAACGTCTGTGACGTCACCAGGGCTTTACTGTGGCTTTACTCAAAACATCGGACCTACCTGTTTCTTATAGGTATCTTGAATATACCCTGGCGCGTTCTTCCAAATAAAATACGTGCAAGGTGAAGGTGTGGGGAATTGTAAATTTAGGACAAATGGTATTGTGACGTCATACGCGTCAGCCAATCAGAATGTCCCCAGAAATGTTAGGTATGCATCTCGTTCTAATTATTTGTTAATTATTTACATGTTATCGGAAAAATATCCATACCTACTCAGCAAAAATAAAAATGTCCTCGAAATCAGCCCGAAGTCGTACTTCCCCACCTACAAAGAGCAAAACGCAAAACGGCGCCATGCAGCTTCGCCACCACCCAGTGGCCGCCCCCCCCCCCCTTTAGACAGACACGACTCCATGCGGGTCACTCATGGGTCGACGACCCGAGGACCCCGCCCCGGGCGGTCACGTGTATGGACCGTCACTCGGTTAGACGACCCTAAGCCCCCGGCGCTCTGGGTCACGTGTCTGGCCGGCCGGACCGGGCGAACAGTGGGACGGACCGTGCCTCGCGCATGTCTTCGCCAAAACAATCGGGAGCCTCTTGATTGCACATAATTCGTCGACTGAAGACTTCCATCTCGGCCCTGTTTCACCGGTGATAGCAGCACGCTACTATCAAATTGCGCGAGCTGACGTAATGTGATGACCTCACACTAATGACGTTTCGTGTAATCCGTGAGCTTTTTCATAGCTACGTTTGGAACAGAGTTGCTGTCTCGTTGAATGCGTTTGATACATTCGCACGGCCGTGAAGATGTTAGCAGCAATATTTGATGACATCACACAGTTTGACGACGCCATGGTTTGTAGACTTGTTTCCATGGAAACCCAATTTGACACGTGTGATAGCAGCGTGCTGCTATCACCGGTGAAACAGGGCCCTCAATTCAAATTGCCCAGACTCACTCTCAAGGTTTGACTTGCCAACGATACAAAGGGCATCGAAACATACAGATACGGCTTTATATATCGTGACACGTTGCTCAGACGTACAACTTACAAGCTGAAAACAGAGCACACTAAATATATTCTGACACACTGAATACAGTATTATATACTGCATACATACAATATTAGCGTGCAACCTTACAATCAGGACAGCCCAGAATATTTACCGTCCAAAGTGTCCAGTTGACCACGTAAAAAGGACAGTGGACGCAGGACACGCATAGTTACAATTTCTCCTGTAGTAAGCAGAGGCTCACATACTTGAATCATGCATACCCCACACTTTAAGCACTAGAACTGATTTAGTACACACCTTTAGTGCCTTGGTACACACTATTTACACATCCACCCACCCAAACACTACTGATAGTTATCACTGACGTCATAACGACGTCACATCAGTCGGCGTGTGGTCTGTGGCAGACCATGACAAGTCAGAAAGACCCCTCTCTACTATACAGAAGGCATACTCAACCCACCCTTCTCCTAACCCCATTCTAACTCAGTGATGTATCCAAATCACTGCTTCCCCGGCGCTGCAGGGTGTGGTGATTCAATAGTCATCGACTCTAGAAGCTTAAAATGACTCTCATCATCGAGCAATAGGTCACTACTCTCACCAAATACTTGTCACTGTTGAACGTCACCATATTAAGCTCTAACCAAGTGTCGCTTTATCATCGATCTTCGGTTCAGCCCAATCAATCTCACAATTTCATACTGTTCACATGCTGGGAGTAGCGATCATGGGTCAATCACCACCCCAAGCCGCACCCAGGCTAGCATCAGTACAGCACTGAATGGGTAAGAAAGAATGCAAGAGCTTGATGAAACTTTCAGCTCCTCCCCAATAAAAGAAAGCTGAAGCCTGGGGCAGATCTGAACAATGACCCAAAACCTTCTAATGGTGTGATTCTGCCATGGTAATAGCTACATTCTACCACTGCTGAAATACTTTGCTGGTAAGGCGTGGTCACCGATGCCAAAAATAAAGCATCTTTAGTCGGCCATTGGTGATATTGAATTGATCAGAGCTAGCTTTGACGCTGTCTTACAGCCACTGAGCTTAGACATTGCTTACTCACATCTCAAATCTAGGATGTTCATTGTCCAATGTCACAGCATAAATATTGGGACACGCCCCATCCACCGCAGTCAGCCTGACCAGCGTTCACCGCACGAACCATATTGCTACGGGCACCTCCGTCCGGCCATATCGTGAAGCACTAGCTGTGGTGACCGAGTCGCTCCTTCAGTAGTTCTAACGTTTGCCGCACGCGGCGCTGCGGTCGCAAGCCAAGAAGTTCCACCACCGGCCGCGGGAGGCGCTGCGGTCGCTACTGCCGCAAATCCACCACACTGATTTCGTAACTTCCGTCCAGAGTTACGTGCTGTGCCTCCTGCGAAAAAGAGAGTAAAACAGTCTGAAAAAAATGTAGCAGAGACGATGGCTCTAGCTATCAAGAGTTAGATGTAGCATCAGGGCCCTGTTTCACCGGTGATAGCAGCACGCTGCTATCACGTTTCGCGAGCTGACGCCATGTCATGACGCCATACTGCTGACGTGATGGGCAGTTCCGGCGCACGATGCCCGCGAACTTGGCCGCGGCATTAAGTGACGTATGAGCCTAAAAGTAAGAATTTACGCAGTCATGATAGTATATTTATTTTCAATACATATTTTTTTAAGATGATGTATATAAAAGAAGTTGGGTTAAAGGAAAATTTGGACGTAAACTTCGAACATTTAGTTGATGACGTAAAACAATATTGCGGCAATCGTGCGCCAGAATCGCCCCTTACGTCAGCAGTATGACGTCATCACATTACGTCAGCTCGCGCAATTTGATAGCGGCGTGCTGCTATCACCGCTGAAACAGGGCCCTGGAGAAGAGAAAACACAATAATATAACACGGCGAAGTAGCGTTATCTGACGAATCCGTCAAAGGGAGATGCATGCTTTTGGTTTGTCCTCCTTCAACAGAATTAAGATTATTATAGATGAGACAAAACACTCGAGGCTCCAAAACACGTCGAAGATGTTTGAAGCAGACTGAAGCGCGTTCACCTTTCTGGCTACGTTTCTTACCTCGAACAGTGGCGGGTCCTGCGGATGGGGATGGAACCCCGACTTGTGACAGTTGGCGATATAGTCCAGGCCATAACTAGGAGTCAGCATGAAAAATCCCGTCCTGAAAGGGAGAAAACAGTGATGGTAAGTGTCATAAATACGTGGATGTGAGGCGCTTTGTCGACGTAGACGGTCATGGTAAGATAGATAAAGCCGATATTTAGGCATAGAAGCAGCAGAAAAAGTCGTATGTAAGCGCCAGAGAAAAAACAATGATCTACCTCAATGAATGTTACAAACAGGAAGTTGTTAGTCATTCAACTAGAGAAATCTCAGACTCGTCGTGTCGACAACACATCATACTTATAAACACATTCGTTGAATCAGCAGCACCAGCCAAGTGCCAACCCAATATGTCACTCATAAATCATCATCATCGTGAAACAACTCTATTATCCCATCATCAGCCGATTTTCGTTCTAAGCATCCACCACGCCACAAACCCAGTCCGTTCAGACCTCCATGAAATCCCACCTAACCTAACATCCCATCCCATTTCATCTTTCCCAACACCAGGCATTTAATTTCCACTCTGTTCCCATTCAACCCACACTTACTCGTTATATTTGGGCGCGCGCACGATGGCTATGACGTTCTGTCACAATGTTGTTGGTCACTTACTCGTTATATTTGGGGGCGCACATTGATAACTATGGCTTTTAATTACCTGCCATTGGTCACTTACTCATTACAGTTGGGCGCACACACGATGGCTATGGCCTTTAGTTACCTGTCGTTGGTCACTTACTCGTTATATTTGGGGGCGCAGACGATGGCTATGCTCTCCAGCATCATGAGTTGATATCCGCAGTGGGTGTGGAGATCCACCGACGACAGGAAGGCCGTCTGAGACGGGTGAGTCTGAGGGGGAAGAGAGAATAAGCCATCAGCGTGGGGAGGCGAGAAGTGGTGGTCAAAGATTGGGGGTCTTCACATCTAATTCTGGAGCTGAAGCGGAGCTCCGCTTCAGAAGGAGTGGAGACATTAGGAGACGGCAAAGAGCAAATTATACGGGAGCTTTTACGGTTGGGTTCAAAATTCGTCTTACGAGTAAACGAACCGGCAATAAATGTTCATGAGATATGATACGATTCATGATTAATGTTCATACATAACACGATAACGCCACAAAATACAATTACATGGCAGAAAGATGTAAACATGTAGATCTTTACCCCTCTATCCCGAAAAAATGTCATTGTGGACTGGTTATCCGCCGTTTCCCTCCCTTCTGTTGCTACTCACGTGTATCCACCCCTGTGTGATGAGGACGGCTATGCTTAGCTGCCGTATACCACCACCGTTAATACTCACGTGTATCCATCCCAGTGTGATGAGGTTGTGGGTGTCCAGATAGGCAAACACCTTCTCCTCGCCCTCCATGTTACAGGAGTCGGAGGTGCCCGTCTGGGCCGGTATCAGCACGTGCGTGATGTACAGATTATCCTGAGACTGAGGGAGGGAAGGGGGTATCAATAACAGGGGAGTATTACCCTCCATATTACAGGAGTCGGAGGTGCCCGTCTGGGCCGGAAACAGCACGTGGGTGATGTACACTTGAACAGACTACAGATTATCCTGGGACTGGGGAAAAGCGAGGGGAGTGTCAATGGTGTAACAGGGGATTGTGAAGGTACGAACATCTAATCGTTACATAACATCATAAGTAAGCAACATAATGCAGCAGTATGATTTCCAGCAGAACACTCCACTTCTCATCTCAAATTCAGACGACATCGGGCGTAACCTCAAAGTTCCCGACCTCCCGAAAGGTTGCAGTAGGTATTCAACCGACCATATTTCCACACGACCGTAAGCACACCAATACCGGCGCTACACCATCTTCCACTCACCGGTTTTCCGCAGAGAAGTCCACACGTTTCCACATTACGATTCGTGTTGGCCTCTGCGATCTTCAAGAACCTGAGGCGAGTACAAACAATGACAAGCTGAGAAAAATTAATGCCAAACCAAAGCACGGGAGTCGACAAACAAGGATCTTAAAACTTCATGGTAACTATCAAGTACAAATCTAGAAAGGAGTACGTAAGTAAAAATCATAGAACCGATGAACGCCAATCATGTAAGCAGTGGAGACTGAAGAGTGTGACAAAGCAACCGATTGGCTTTCACCAAACACAATTAGTTCTTATCAGAGTAAAACTGCCTCTCACTGGCGCAGAGCATCCTTGTACTCTAACACGCCAATGGATCTCATCAGAGGTATATGACCGTTATGATCATAGCACCAACCCGGCTTCTCATCAGAGAACCATTTGATTCTGAATAAATCATAATAACGATGATGACGTGAGCACCGTCGCGATTTTCAATGGACGGAGCACCACCACTGTTCTCATTTGAGTACCATCTTAGTTCTCACCTGGGCATCAGCGAGTCGGGTACCACCACCGTTCTCAGCTCTGATCTCAGCGAGAGCAGCGACTTCTGGTGGTCGAAACTGGGCTTCACAGAGCGGTCTATTGCCGGCGCCCTGTGAGACAGAAACAGGGGTCAGAGGGGAGTCAGAGGGAGTCAGAGGGGGGTCAGAAGGGAGTAAGAGGGCCAAAAAGGGGGTTGTGAGAAGGCTAGAGGTGATTGGGAATGTTAAGGCAGAAGTGACGCAAACAGAGGGACAATGCAGTTCTATGAAAAAGGAAAGACGACAGATTTTGTTTCAATATCATACTCAGCATCACTATCCATGAATCCAGTTTGAGCCTACCACAAAAATACCATATCCTAAGATTACGATAATGGACTGGTGACTGGTGACATAGATGCGGCACGCCATGACCTTATCGCACCATCATCTTTCTACTTCCCCACATCTCCGCAAGTCTTTCCATTATCCCCACCACCTTCCCACGTCCCTTCCCCTTTCTCTCCTAACCTCCCTGAATATCACCTTACATACCCCGATGATGGCCTGGACAGTCGCGTCGGGGACAGCTCCCCGTAGCTAGGCGGCGGTGCTGACGGAGCTGCAGGAGCTGCAGGAGCTGACGGTGCTGACGGTTGCTGGAGGGCGCTGTAACTCGGAGGGGCAGACGGGGGCTCCGGGAGTAGTGCCGCATATGCTGGAGAGAGAGAGAGAGAGAGAGAGAGAGAGAGAGAGAGAGAGAGAGAGAGAGAGAGAGAGAGAGAGAGAGAGAGAGAGAGAGAGAGAGGGAGAGAGGGGAGGGAGATGGGGAGGGAGGGAGAGAGAGGGAGCTGTCAGTTTTGACGGGAGAGAACGTCGGAGGGAGTGTCAAAGATGAAAATAGACCAGGACTGCGGAGGGCTGGCCTAGACATCGAATTCATTTACACTTGCATATCATGTCTTCGTTCTGGCAGTCAAAGTGAATGTTAAGACCCTTCAACTTCATAGAAAACCACCAAAACCGCTACACAATATTGGGCACATATGTTACCTTGCATACCTGATACGATACTGGCTACCATTGATCACAGCAGAACTTTGATTTGTTATGTTGATATCCTGAAACCCCCACATGGCTTATATTCTAATTCCATTTTACCCCTTCATGGCGATTCCCACTCCGTCTTCACAGTCTTACCAGGCAGTCCGTCAGCGGTTGGTTCGGAGACCAGAGTCCGTTCGAGCTGCTCCGCGCGCCGCCTCTCCAGTTCCAGCAGGCGCTGCTTTTCCTCAGCGAATCTGTGGAGAAGAGAGGACAACGTGAGAGAGAGAGAGAGGGAGGGAGAGAGAGAGAGAGAGAGAGAGAGAGAGAGAGGGCGAGGGGAGAGAAAGAATGTAGGAGAAGAGATAGACAGGGGAGAAAATAACCATTAAACTGGTGTCACTGTCAGGGCCAGGACGGCGTCAGGCTGTACTAGTGTGTCAGTGCGTAAAGCCCGGTGCTCACTGAGCGTAGAGCAAACGTAACGTCAGGCAAACGTAGGTGAAACGCAGGGTTTCGTTTACGTTTGGTGGGCGCTCAGTGAGTACCGGGAAACCGCGTCAGGCTTCTTCAACTTCAAAACACATTCCGTTTCGCCTACGTTTCCCTATGTTTGCCTGACGTTACGTTTGCTCCACGCTCAGTGAGAACTGGGCTTAAGGGTTTCAGTTTCGGTCCCAGAGCCAGACTATGCCAGTGTAAGACTCTTACAGAGATGGTGTCACTGGTTGCATTAACATTACAATCGTCGTTTTGGGTCAATACATCAGTGTCATATTGTGTCAGAGTGTCAGACTGTCACGAATCGCCCCACCTGCGTCGCTCCTGCTCCTCCTGCTCCAGTCGCTCGTGCTCTCTCGCCGCCCGCTCTCGCTGCTCTGCCAGCTGCTGCTCTCGCCGCTTCTGTGAGAAACCAAACGGAAACACAGGTCAGGTCAGGTCAGGTCACACACAAAACCACATGCCAGATCAGGGTAGAACTTGTCAGGGTACGCGTCATCGGGGAGGGTCAGGTTACACAATACGTACACTTATTATATGTATACTACATACGCATGATTCCTTTCCTATCCAATATCCATGGGATAGTTTACTACTTCGATCATCGACTTGCGTCTGTGGTGTGCACGCTACTGAAACGTCTGTGTGTTTGCCAATCTTCCTTTTTGCACTGTCGGCAACCTATCTGAGCTGATTTTTACACCACCATCGATTTATCGATTTGTCACGATGTTCCCTGCACTCCACACCCTCACCGTTTCCTCTAGAGGTCACTGACCTGTTCCGCCACCCACTGCCGATGCTCCTGCTCATATTTGGCGATCAGCTGACGCTTGATAGCCTCTGCGCGGGGGAGCGTTAACTCCAGGTGACGCTTGATGGCCGCTCGCTCGCCAGGCGTGACAGTGCGAAACTCTGGGTGTTCACGAATTTTCTCCAGGAAGATACTGTCGAAGAAATAAAAAGAAATCGATAAAGAAGTTAGTCAGTAGTCAGTACACTCAAACAGCATATCGTAAGATGCAATTACTTTACTGGACACCATCCATTGTAGATTTCTGTCAACTGAAGTGCATACACAGTATCCCAGTCCGTCTACTTACGTCATGAACTTGAGGTATAATACGTAGGCGCCCTCCAGGTTGCCCTCCTCGGCGTACACGTTCGCCATGCGAACCATCTCCACACCGGAACGGTAATACCTGCGGCAGAGCGGATCAGAGACGTCACCGGAAGTGGTCCACTTCCGCCGGAACTAAGCCGGAAGTGGTCGACTTCCGGTGGCATTGAGCCGGAAGTGCGGAGTTCCGGTGGAACTGAGCCGGAAGTGGCCGACTTCCGGTGGAATTGAGCCGGAAGTGGGTAATTTCCGGTGGAACTGAGCCGAAAGTGGCCAAATTCTACCGGTAGTCACCCGGAAGTGACCGACTTTCGCCGGAACTTAACCAGAAAGGGGGATTTACACAGGAATTTAGAAGTCGAAGGAGGAAAAGGTAATGTAATGATTGATGGTATGAAATAAGTGATTATTCAGAGTTGACCACATGCAAAAAAAGTTGACATGAGACACTAATTGCAGGTGAAATATGAAAAACAGTACGAACACGACGTGCGCACTTATCAATTAAAGATCGCAATAAAACGAGACGGGCGCCATTAGGACGAAAAGGTGACATGAAAGGACGGCCCAAATGCAAGCATAAATGTTGCGAAGTAACACACACACACACAAAGTCATCTAAAACAACACACACATGCTGTACACCTCAAGCAGTATGGTGGGACAGATAACTATCATTGCGCTGAAGCTCAATCAATGTCATGTCGAGAAATGAGACTGGGTAAACATAACAAAGGTGATTGATGATCCAACTGAAACCAAAATAAACGTGGGGCATGGCAATGCTCAGAGGAAAATCAGAGCATTTTGTGAGTGACCAAACAAATGCAGTGAGTTGATGGCCACCAGACACTGAGGCAAAATGCAATGTACAGATAAAGTACTAAAATATAAGCTTCCATGATTAGCTGTATCAGAATGACACCAAAATATTCAAATAAACAATTAGATAATTTAAAGAAAAGCATTTCCTCCTGACTCATTTCCTGACCTCCAGCTGTGCATTTCACAAATATCGACATCATTTCCAATAAAAGTAACTCCTCCAGGCCTCACCAAGGTCTAAAGAACAAACTACACCATACTCACATTTTGGCTGGCCTTGAGTGGTCAATATCATAGTTGGCCTTGTCTGCCAGCTGCCTGATCCGGGCAGGAGCCTCCTCCATCGTCAGAGGCTCTCGGTAGGAGAGCGTCAGCTTCAGCATTCAGCAGCACAGCTTCATTCACAGCAGGTTCGCTCCTTCAGCATTCAGTGTCTCAGGTTGATAAACAGCAGGTCTGCAGACTGCAGGGCTCCCAAGTCTCAGTAATCAGCAGCTTAGTTAAATGGACAAAAAGGTCTATGATTTTATCATTTAGTGGCTCAGCTTAATGTCCAACAACTCCACTGTTGCCAACAGCATTCATGGGCTTCACTTTTGAGATGAGTTGCTTAGCAGGACATATTCTGCTTCAGTACATCCAGGGCCCTGTTTCACCGGTGATAGCAGCATGCTGCTATTACACGTGTCTAATTGGGTTTCCATGGAGACGTCAACAAGCCTATTCCTCCAACACTACCAGAAGTGTGACGTCAGCTCGCAAAATGGAATAGCAGCGTGCTGCTATCACCGGTGAAACTGGGCCCAGTATCCTGTTCAAGACAACATCCAGGAGGTCAGCACTCAGCATCAACATTCCCTTGCTAAGCTTAGGAGTTTTGCTGAGTCATATCAGCATTATGTGTTAACTGCAAAGGTCATTTTACCCATGTCAGGATCAAGGAATGCCAATACAATGTATAACGAATGAGCTCAGGTTGACTTAAAGTTAGTGATATGACACAAGTGCCTTAGGGCCTGCCGCCTGTTCCAGCATCTCTAGAAAACACTAGGGCCCTGTTTCACGTCAACACACTACAGCGAGCTATGCATAGCAGTGGATTAGGTATGGTTTCCATGGAAACATCAATAAACTCAGATGCTCACAATTGCAATGCTGGAGTGTTGAGGCAAAGTTGTCTCAAACAAAACACGAATTCCGTGGCATAGCATCATGCCGTGAAACAGGGCATTGCAATAAACCTTACATGTGAAACAGGCAGCATAGGTACTGACAGAAAAATGACCAAACAGCACTCAGAAGTCAGAACTGTTGAATCCTGATTCATCCAAGGTAGGTATCTCTTCTGGCAAGTGGCATCCCCAGAAAATGAAAACAAAAGGTGACTCCGACCATTTCAATTTACTTACGCAGAAGATGACACTAGGTAGGTACCAAATATTTGGATTCACTAGCTCCAGTAGGAAAAATAGCAATGTTGATATAACGTGCATAACCTCCCCGCTCTAGGCTCGAGGAGCAATAAACAACACTTTGACTTGTTTCACCCTGCAAAGTGCAAAATGCAAAATATGCATGATTCATACGCCACCGTGTTCACTACTTGTGCAGGTAGCTGTAATTCATCGAATGCAACCGAATCAGGCCAATCCGCAGGCTTTGCTTGCTTTGCTTCCGCTGACAGAGCCGGACTGACACAATGATAGAACACATAAGTGGGCATACGTGCGCCATATTTGTCTTATCGAATTATGTTGACAGGCGGCAGTCTGACAGTTGACTCAGTGCAGTTGACACCGCAGTTGACAGTTGGTTGACAGTCTTCCATAAACAGTGACGTATGGTTGGCTGCTGTCGTGCATTTTGTAAGTGTCTTGGCTGCTGTCATCCAGTGTAAACAAAGGGCCTGTTCCAGCGCCTCCAGAAGAAATTCTTGACTGGAGGCTCTACCAGAGGTTTTACTGGAGGCGCTGGAACGCAATCTGGAGATTTCTGGAGATTGGCGTCATAGATACCAAAAGAATGACGATTGTTCTCTCTTGAAACGCATAATTTGTTTTCAATTTTAGTTAAAAAGATAAATAAAATTATAGCAATGTAATTTTCTTTACAATCGAGTTGTAAAATAATCAGTCAAATGTCCTTTGTTTACATTCGTGATTGTCACATGTGCGCCATAATTGTAGACCAGAGCCTCCAGAGAAATTTGGACCTCTCAACTCTCTGGAGGCTACTGGAGGTTTCTGGAGCTTTGGCGAGAGCTTTCTGGAGCTTTCTGGAGGCGCTGGAACGCTCTCTGGAGGATTCTAGAGCTTTCTGGAGCTTTCTGGAGGTTTCTGGAGGCGCTGGAACAGGCCCAAAGTTTCCATAATATCGACCAGTTTTATTTGGCAGTGCGCTACTGTGTTCATCAAGATGGTCAAGGGAACTGTTCTTTTTGTTGAACTGAACGTGGCTACATCAACATAGTACGATTGCGATAGTACGAAGAGTAGAAGAGCAGGAGGTTGCAGGGCGGAAGAGCTCCAGCCTCCAACCAGCGCACTCAGCCAGCATCAGCGTTACTCGGCCATCTAGGCACCTCATGAGTCACACAGGTGACCTGATGTCGGCTGGTGTCGTCCAGCTGATAGATGACCTGGCTGCCCTGGCCGAAAATGAAGACTTGGCAGACATCGTCTTCCTTGTCGGGCCGCAGGAGGAGCGAGTATTTGCCCACTCCTTGATCCTGAAGACCAGGTGTCGCAGTTTCCAGCGCGCCGATCGTAAGGAGGTCTGCCAGATCGCCGGCAGCACCGTCACCACCGGCTCTCAGGGTTCCCTGACGGTGATCAAGCTGCCCGCCTACCGGCCGGAGGTCTTCAAGCAGGTCATCATCTACATCTACACGGGACGGGTGTCTCTCTCCGTGGACACGGCTCCCGAGCTGCTCGCCGCCGCGGCCGCTCTCGGCCTGGAGTCTCTCCGGCAGCACTGCCACCAGCATATCGCCGATAGTCTGTCGGCCGCCAACGCGTGCGCCCTTCTGGCCGCGGCGGTGCGCCTCCAAGATGCCACAGGTAGCGAGGACGGCTCACTGATTGATAAATGTCTCTCATATATCGGACAGCGTGCAGCGGAGTGTGTACAGACTGCCGGCTTTCTGAATTTACCCAGAAAAGCCATGATCAGGCTCATCTCCTCGGAGCAGCTTGCGCTGGATGAGGAGTCCGTTTGGCGTGCTGTGCTCGCCTGGGCCAAACATGGCGCCGGCGTGACGAGACCGGCGCCCCAGTGGAGCGACGAAGAGCGCACACGGGTCTGCGCCCACATGAGCGGGGTCATCAACCACGTGAAGCTCCTCCTGATCGACAGTCAGGTGTTTGCCGACGAGGTCGAGCCCACGGGCGTCGTTCCCATGGAGCTCAGCCTGGAGCGCTACCGTTTCGCCGCCCTGCCGGACAAATTCCGCCGCGAACGGGTGGCGGAGGACCGGCGCCTGCAGCCGCGGCTCAGTGGCCACCTGTTCACGGGTTCCCGGCTACTGACCGGTCCATCGGCGGGCCGGCTGCAGCAGCTGCTCTCGCAGTGGTACGGGGACACCGGTCAGCGCTGGGGGCTGCTCTACCGAGCCTCCGATCACGACCACAGCGCTCTGGAGTTCCACCGGCTCTGTGACGGCGTGGCCCCCACCTTCACGCTGTGTCTGGGTGAAAGTGGACAGCTCTGTGGTGGGTTCAGCGACGTGGCCTGGGTGCAGAGTGGTGCGAGGGGGCGCTACATCCATTCAGACTCGGCGTTCCTCTTTACGCTCGTCAACCATCAGAACGTGCCACCCACGAGATTTCCCGTGAAGAAGCGAATGTACGCCATATGTTACCACCCTCAGTGTGGTCCGATCTTCGGCGCGGGAGCCGACCTGTGCATTTCTGACCGCTGTGACTCGACAGGCGAGAGCTACTCCAATCTGCCGCACTCGTACGATGGCGATGGTGCCTCTTCGGCACTTCTGTTCGGCGACTACAACTTCAACGTAGCTGACTATGAGGTGTTCACTGTGGCCTGAACAGACTGTTCAGTGTTCACTGTTCAGTGTTCACTGTGGCATTTTTTACTTTTATATCGCGCTGCTACTACCGTGCTGGTGACGTTTTATCAATTTGACCTACCTATCCGTCCGTGTAAGTGTATGTTCTAACCCGAACGTCCGTCCATCACTTCATATCATTGACGAGAGGTGGTAAATAGCCACAAGCACTGTGGATCGCCTTAATAAATGTCTATGCCTTTGCCTTTGTCTATGTTGTCTACATGTGGTCGACATGGCCGGGGCCTATATACGGCCTTGGCCGGGGCCTATATACGGCCTTGGCCGGGGCCTATATACGGCCTTGGCCGGGGCCTATATACGGCCTTGGCCGGGGCAAGCTGCGAAGCGTTTTCCTATCTATCGGATGTCGAGTAACGAGCTGCTGAGGTAGGTATTGGGGCCGGAACTGCACCTGTGTCGACGTTGCAGCGAATTTCCACTGGTGGTATTACAAATTCGGAAAGATATCGCAAAGCGAATAGGGAGATTCACCAATAATCGCATGGGCGCATTTGACTCTGCTCTCAGGAAAAGACTGCTACGCTACTCGCGCTACTCTTCAGCTGACACTTGACAGGCGATTCTGTGAATTCCCGATAGGTGGCCGTAAAACTGATCGATAGGTGTCGCCCTAAGCGGGAGGGTCTGTGTGGACGATCGGCCTACCCCAAAGTCCCAGAATGCCGATAGCCTTTGGGCTTTGATTATACGATTTTTATTCACCTGTTTTCCGCATATTTAGTTACGCATGAACCGTTCACATTGCCTCCGTCAGAAATACGGTTTCTCACAATAACTTGTCTGACATCTTGTAGGTACCTATGTGGGTCAGTGTTACAGTCACACCATCGTTCGACTCTTACTTTATACGTTTTATCATCTGTGATAGTGACCATTCATATACCTATAACGGGAGAACGTAGGAACCTGGGTCACTGGCCAATCCAGGGGGCATTTGGAACAAATCCCCCCCTCCCCCCAGTCCCCACATCCCCCGAAATCGACAAAACTTTGCGGTTTTTCGACAATAAAACGAAAACTAAACAACTTTTATCATGAAAGGTTTGCGCACAGTAGGTAGTTTGTAAGGAATCGAAATCCGATGAGCTTTTGGAATTTGGGGAAACTGTTTTTGGGGTATACCTACCTACTTATGCCCCTCAGCGTACTCCAAGACCGCCTTTCTGGATCCGCCAGTGGAACAGACCTGCTGGATCCAGAAAGGCGAGAGGATCCGACAATCGTTTCAATTGATCTTCCTACAGCATAGTCGTCACTTAACAATTATTTCTACCAGTTCCCCTGCCACCCGGGTACGTTAGCCAGCGCCGTGCTGGGGGTCTGAGTTTTGAGTTTTCCGTGTCGTGTTGGCGGAGAGGAGTTCACCCTGCACCCACGCCCGTCTAACTCGGCTCCTGGGCTACGTAGCGACACGCAGTAGCGGAAATCGAAAGAGCTTAAAAAAATAATGAAAAAAGTAGTTAGTTAAGGTTAAGGTCAGGCCAAAGGTCAGGTCGCCGGAGCTTATCAAAGGTCAAATTTTGCCTTTTACAACAATTTTGAAAACAAAACTGACGCAAAACTCTGGAACCAATAGAGCTAGAGCGCGGTGGAAAAGCGCATTCAATAGCTTTTTTTACAGACCTTTCTGGTTATTTTTCTCAGATTTGACCTCAGGTCAACGGTTTAACCTCCAGAGCAGGCACGTATCGACTACAGAATGATGTTCCACTCCTCAGAAGCTATCAGTTGACCGGAGCGCTAAGTCTTGCCGTTTCACGCTTATTCGATGTTTCGAAGAAGAACGGTCTGAATCAGCGGTAAAATCAACCCAGAACTGTCATTTGGGCTTCATTCCCTCTGGACACAGCGCTATAGAGCCCGCTGCACAGACGCACATTGACGTAATGATGTGTTATGTCCGCCGCCTGCCTCATCGGACCATTTTCCTCATAAAAAAAGATCGAAAGGCACCACGACCACCAACGACAGGGAACGAACGCTACGCTCGGGTCATGGATTCATCCATGCTCGGGTGCTGGAGAGGCTCTGACGTTAGATAGTGGCCCTATGGTCGGGACTTCCGCAGCCCCGCGCTGCGGAGGGGGAAAGATCGCTATTGAAAGATGATGCCCCGACGCCGCCGCACTGGAAAATACCTCGAGGGGCGGGCCGTCGAGTCCCAGGTGCCGGCCAACCGCTGCCTTTCACCCGGCGGACACGCCTTTCCCGCCGGAGGCAAACATACGGCGGACTGGCCTCACACGCACTATGCTTTTTGCTTACCCAGCCCGCCGCTCGATACTCAGTACACACCACATATTGCGAATAACCTGCGCCGTGCTGGTGGTCTGAGTTTTCTGTAGTGTGCCCCCCTCTCCCCGTCTAATTCAGTTTCTGGGCCGCGTAGCGACACGCGGTAAGCGGCAATCGAAAAAGTGTAAAAAATAATGAAGGAAATAGGTCATCAGTAATTGTTTACGTCAGGTCAATGGTCAGGTCACCAGAGGTCATCAAAGGTCAAAGTTAGTTTATTTCAACAATTTTCGAAATAACGACGCACAGCTCGGGAACCAATGCCTAGATCTACAGTGCCGGAGAATAGCGTAGGGTAAGGTGCCTAATTAGCGACCCCCTTAATTTGAACCGTCATTGCTCACGCTCTGTGGGTGCCACTGTATTACTGGCTTGATTTTCGGAGAGGTCGTTCATTTTTCGATTAAAAAATAGTCATTTTCTGCCCCAATATTCACTAAATTATTTGTAGTGAGCATTTTAGCAAACCATTGCAAAAAACGCTAATAGGGAACTCTTCCCGATTAGCGACCAGGGAGGGTCGCTAATAAGTCTATGGGTTTCCCCTGAAAAGATGTAATATTATCTCAAAAAGGTAAC